CTCCCTACACTTATAAGTCACCCCCACCTCCGCCTCCACCGTACTACTATAAGTTCGTAGACTATAAATCACCACCACCTCCTCCTTATTACTACACATCACCTCCGCCTCCATACAAATCCATACACCTCCCATACCACTACAACTCAGCCCCACCTCCAAAATTCCACTGAGTGATGGCATTTAAATTATATTAAATTGTATGAATAATATTACCGACTTCCTATACATAAGGTGGAGTTGGAGTTCGTCGATTATTTAATGGTGTGATTGTCACTAGATCCCTTGCGATCAAAACTTTGGGAAGGAGTTGTATTATTTTTGGCATCCAATGGCTGCTAGAGATTTGAATTCTATGAAATATTGTATTTTATTTGACATAATCCTTGGTTAAATTTTTTTTTTTCTGGTTTGGGATTTGTGTTGATCACTATTTCATTAAAATTTATGTATTTTGATGTTTAAGTTATAATGACGAGATTGTAAACTTTATGAAATTATGTATTTCTATTTTAGTGTTTAAGTTATGATGATGAGCTTGTAAACTTTCTAACTGTCGTTCTTAATACTAAACTTACGGTTAGTTTTGCTTGTGAGCTAGAAACGAGTTCAAACTGCGCTAAATAAAGAAAAAACACTAAAGAAAAGACTGCTGTTTCTTTGTTATAGTTAATTAAATATTGATAAAAGTTGAATTTATTCTAAACTTTATCCATTACTTTGGGTCTCATAGTAATTTAACCCGTAATCACGACAGAAAAATTTGAAATTAAAATTTTTGCAAAATTACTTCTCTCCGCTATGTATTAATTATTCAAGTGTTAAAGGTCCTGACCTATCAACTTAAAGCGATCTGATAGTTCCGGATATTTTCTTGTTATTGTAAATCTAATTCTCTAATCATCTAAGACAATTAAAGATTGGTAAAAGTACGTTTGTTAGTTATCTATTTTACAGTGACATCAATCAATATGTAGGTAATGTGAATGCAATTGTTCATGTGTAGAAGAACTTGGCAGAGAAAAATAAAAGGTTCTATGGTGAATAATAAATTGTTTCAAGATGCACAATTTAGAACTCAATTCCCTCGACCATTCAGATTATGCATTTCAAATATCAAATATATTTGGAATAAAATTAACCGATCTAATTAGAACAGTTCATACCCCACAAATTTTTAACTTTAATCTCCTTAATTTCTTTATGATGATTTCTTCACTCTCAACGCCCAAGAGTTCCCTCCTATAACCGTTGCCCAATCTTGAAGCAACCTATCCAGTCACTAACAGGTAACGAAAAAACACACACACATTGTTGCAATATCTAAACATATAATAGAATATATATAGTTGGGAAAAATTTTGGTCCCATGTGATAAATTTGGCTTTGTCCTTTCTTAAGCAATATCGTGCCTGATGTCGGTGCCTGATGTCGGTGCCTTTTAGGTTTGATCTGTGAAATAAGTTCATTAATACGACAGGAACATATACCATGGTCCATGGTGGTAATCTAAATTATAGGCTTCCATTGCTTTTGATTTTTTTTTTTTTCCTTTTTTTCTATTTGAAAGACTAACTAAAGAGTATAAGGCTTGTTGTAACTTTTTCTTTTTAATATGCAAGGAGAGATTTCGAACCTAGATTGAAGAGAAATAATCTACTAAATTTGTCCATGGAATAACCGATTATCTCTGCTTACTGTAACTTCCAAAAGAGGATATTTTTCTTTTGTAGTAAGATCTAATATACCTAATCAAGATTGGACCAAAAGTTCGTATTTGGTTTTTTGATACTATCTTCCGAAAATTTGTTGATTCTTAAATAAAATTCACTAATTCCTTTGTTCATCTAATAGGATGTTCTTGTTTCTCATCAAATAAATAATAATAAAGAGGTTTAACTTTTTACGGTTGGGATCACACTGGCTCATAAGGTGCCCCATGTAACATTTAAGGGATAAATGCTGCTAGACAAGAATTAAGATCAGAAGGTCCCCGTTGAAATTTAATACATTTTACACAACAAAAATACATTTTGTTTATTTATACGGTAGAATGAGGATCTCTCAAGAGAAGGAGGTGTCTTCTTTTAAGACTTTTTCAAACCCAAAACAGTGAGGACAAACTGAAAATAATTAAGATTGTAAGCTTGTCTAAGCAGCTGAAGCTTGTGATTGTTCCATGGTGGATATCTGAACCAGAAGTCGAGCAAAAAGCTCCTCTTCAATATTGCCTTGTCATGACTAAAGGTGTCGAATGAAAATTTGCCATGATACCTGCCAATCCCACTTTCACCAACCCCTCCAAATGGGAGTGTATCGGCTGCATACTGAATTGACAACAAAAATGGCAGTGAGGGTTTTGAAGCAGCAGCAGTAGCTAGTTAAAGCTGCTTGCTGTGGCTGGAAATTAGGCACCGATACCAGAACGGTAATAAGAAAGAAAAAATAAACGGCTGCTCTAATGGTTGGTTTTGACCCACTTGTATCAGCACATCTACGTTTTCTTGGAAGAGACTACGTACGGCTCGTGGGTGAACTAAGTTTATATTGGATGAAGTTATGAAGCCAGAGCTTAAATTTGGTATATAGGTTTATTTATTTCAAACTATGATTTGCTAATCCTACGTGTTACATAGCTTCTAAAACTTCTTAACAATACATATACTTCTGCACATCGTAAACCACCAACCAAATACATGCTATATAAATTCAAAGGTTACTCTATATAATCTAAAGATAGACTATATAAACTCAGATTTAAACTATATAAGCCCAGACTTATTATTAAAAAGATTTTAGGAGAAGTCTCGACTAAATGCTTTACTACAATGGAGATGTGAATTGAAAAACTTAGGAAGCGGAAGCGATGAAGTACCTGAACAACTGCATCATTAAAGGTCAAGCTGCCGGACGAAGTTTCTGAAACGAGTCTTCTCTGGAAAGCTTTATCTTTTGTGAAGGCATAAATGGCGAGAGGCTTAGGCCTTAAATTGACGAAATCTATACTGTCTTCAATCTTGTCCAGCTACCAAGAAAGAAAGTGACACGATCCATCACTTCCCACCCTTTCTAAATGAAAGGCAATGACAAGTAGTACACAGCTATAAATGGGGGAAAAATAAACTAACTCCGATTATGGGAAGGAATGGTCCAAAGATTTCATCTCTCATAATTTCTGCATCATTTGGTGGATTCAACAAAATAGCCGGCTCAACAAACCTGCATAAAGATTGACATTAAGTACAGCAAAAATTCTTTTGTAACATTATTCACTACATATATCATAGATTATAGACTCCTTAAGTTAATTATAAAACTACTTATCAGTTATTACACAGGCCTGAAAATTTTGTTAACATAAGGAACTACTATTAATTAGCTAAGGTCACATGTGTTATCTGTTTCCATAATTATTTCTTTCAAGCACTCAGGGCCCCATGGTTCGTAACATAGTATACATATATTGTGGAGCCCTCTGTGAGTGCTTTTACTTCTTTTTTTTTTTTTTCCTTTGAATTCTCTAAAATTATAGATAAATTTATCACATCAAGCGTATCGGAAAGAAAGGCATGGATTTATCAACACATTTCCGTTTAAACACTTACAATTTGTCTTCGTCCATCGATCCCCCATATATGATCGAAGCTCGGACACCAGGTTCATCCAGCAGATTCTTCAATCTCAAGAAATTTTGTTTGTTTACAATCCTCGCCATGCTTTTTGCTTGATTCGGACTTTTGCCGAACATTTCCTTGATCAATTTCTTTATCATTTCTACCTATAGCAATGAATAAAAAAAAAAGAGAGAAAGGCACAGAATGTCATATTGGACACCTGATTCTTCCAAATGTTGGAGACGCAGAAGAAGAGGATGGAAAAAAAGAAAAAAAGGAACGGATTCTGGAAAGGGGAAAACGAGCGATTGATCCAGAAATCTTACCAATGTGGATATAAATTTATGCTCAACAAGGATGTAGTCGATTGCTACACAAGCTTGACCCGCACAGGCTCCAAATTTTCCGATCACGAGTCGTTTGGCTGCAGCCTTGGAGGTGAAAATCGAAGACAATTTTAAAAAAAGCTTATGGTGGGCGATATATGGCCATTTCTATTTCTACCATCGCGAAATAAAGAACGAGCGTAGCGGGAAAATTAACTGTGCAGGAGCTACATAGTCTTCACTCTTCAGCATATTTAAATAGAAATTCAAAATTAACGTAAAAAATATATAAAATCAAAATAAACTCGGATCTTGAATATTTTACCTTAACCAATTGAATTAGATGAAAATTAGTAAATAAATAAGACTTAAATTATATGAACCTACTTATTTATTATATTAAATTATGCAGGCAGTTTTAAATTCTACCGCTTAATTGAAAAGTTAAAAGAATAGTATATATTGAAGTTTTTGAAATGATAAAAATATATTTTAAATATATGATAAAATTAAAGGATATTTTTTGTGATTTAGAAAAAGAAAGTTCTACTTACTTTTATTTTAGGGGTGTGTGAGAAAACTAAAATATTAGATTGTTCTTAATAAATAAGTATACATCATTATTATTACATCGTAAGAAGATCTAGAATGAATTATATATGAAATAAAAAATGAATGAATTATATATAAATGAAATAAATTATGAAAAATATTGAGATCTAAATCGTTAGGTAAAAGACAGACGAATATTAATATTTGATAATTAAAAGAGAAAAATATGAAAATAAAATTTTTTATTTTTTAATAATAAGTTAGTGATTTTTTAACAGTGGTAAACCTAGAGATAATTCTAAGCTCAATTTTTTATCTTAATCAAGATAAGTCAAGAGTACATCAAGCTACTTTCTCTAGTCGACCCACTACTTGCATGTGTCATGTGTGTAATCTATCGTAATGGTTTTTTATTATAGAGCTATTATTTTATTTATTTATTTATTATTATTATTATTATTATTTTGGCAGCTATTCCCCGAAAATAAAATGTTTCATTCAAGACGGAAAGTAAACAGTCAAATGGTAGTGAATGTAGAGATAAATAATTGAAAAGTATTTTCCAGAAATTATATATCTGTATAGAGAAGGAAAAAGGAAAACCTGAATATCCCAAGAAGATGAAAGGGAGTCAACAATGGCGGGGCATTTTCCACCGAGCTCCAAAGTCACCGGCGTCAGGTGTTTCACGGCGGCCGTCATAACAATCCGTCCTATTCGTGCACTTCCTGCAACCAATCAAGTCTCAGTTTTTCACATCCCCAAATCAAATCAAATCAAATCAATGAGAGATAACTGATGAGGTTTAATTTAATTATTAATTAATTATCACAAAACTACCAACAAAACAACCAAAAAAACTAATCTAATTCTAATCAACGGGCCCCCTCCATTAATTGCCTTACTTCCAACCTGTACCTGTAAAGAAAATCTTGTCCCACGGCTGCTGCAGCAGCCGCTCGCCCACCGCCGCCCCTCCTTCCACAACCCTCACGCCTCTCCCGTCCACATAACTCCCGATGCCTTTCGCCAGAAACGCCGAACTCGCCGGAGCACACTCCGACGTCTTCACAACCACGCAATTTCCGGCTGCCACTGCTCCTATCAACGGCTCCAACGACAACCCTTATCCCAAAAATAAATCATTAATCATCTAATTAATTAATTAACTTCAAAATTAATCAAATTCCTCACTCACCAAACGGAAAGTTCCAAGATGAGATTATAAGAACAACGCCCAGAGGCTGTGGAACCACTTCTGCCGAACTTAGCAAAGCTATTGCCGGCAGTTTTGCCTGCACAAGAAAAAAATTAAATATAGAAAATTTCTTCTATATTTTGGCTAGCTTTTTTCTTTTTTATTTGTCTTTCTTATTCTTAATTACCTTTTTGGGTAACATCCAATTATCCAAATGTTCCAAAGCAAAGTTCAGAGACTTGGCCAACGTTCCAATCTGCGTGAACATGGCAAAAACTCAAGTGGGGTTTTTTAAATAGAAGAAAAAGGAAAAAAAAGATGAGATTTTTTAGAAGAAAACTAATAATTAAAAAAAAAAAATACCTCGTCCCTAAAAGCTTCGACATGGTGTTTTCCCAAGTCTTGGTTTAGAACACTATAAATCTCTTCTTCTTTGTGGTTTAGGAATTGGCGTAAGCCTTTGAGCTGCGAAATTCTCCATGTTTTTTCTTTTGTTTTCCCACTCTTGAAGTAATCTCTCATCTCCTCTAAATCCCTCTCCAAATTCTCCATAACTTCCCAAACCGACCGATAAATGCGAAATATGATTAAATTTCCTTCAACTGTGTTTCAACTATTTAAAGGCTTAATCTTAGTTCCCACTTGTGTACAATATGCCCACATGAGTATTATAATTAGTTAGTTACGTTAATTTGTTACTTATTAATTTGTGTTGTAAAATTGGTTTCTAAAAAAAAAAAAAAAAAAAAACCATCGGTTTTGAAATGTGGTTGTAAAAGTAAATACTATATTTATGTAATAATGAATGCACAATTCCAGTGAGCTATTGAATGGAGTCTGGTTGGGAGCTTTCAATTTAATAAAGTTTCATTTAAAAAGGGGAAAAGTGTGGCCTGAATAATGTCATATGAAAGACGTGAATTATCAATTAAGAGAAATGATGTGGCCTAATTTAGGCCAAATGTATATACATGTATATATATGCACACACATTACTGCTACACCTCCCCATTTCTAGGCTATATGATTATTAAAGGAAGAAGAACCACGATTTAGTGTAATAATAGAAGTTATTAAATATGTAACATTAATGCGTTAGGTTTCATTTATGTAAATTTTAATTAGTTTTAAGTACAATAATGGATTATCAATTATCTAGTGCGTATTAGTATCTTTAGTACTAGTATATTCAAATTTCATATCTCGTTAAAAAATTACAAATATGCCCCTACCGTGCAATGATAGCTTTTACTATTCTAAGTACGGCATTGATATATTTATTATCATTATCTTTCYTTTTAATAATTATTTTTATTATACAATATTTAAAAGTTTTAATCCATCCCCTTTTTAGTTGGGGAAAAAAAATGTTGCGACAAAATCCCACTTATATCTTGAATTTTAAAATTACAATTAAAATCTAAGATATAAGTTAGGACAAAATCAAAGAATAACACCTATGCTATTCTCAATTATTATCAAATTTGGATTGTATTAGATGAAGTTGCAAAGACATGACACTTTGGGAGAGAGTATATGAAGCTAATAATGAAAAACAAAATTATATTTCACGTGGATTACGCCTTCTCAATTTTTATGTCTCTCTCACTTTTCACAATCCGAATCTTTTGAGAAGTTATCAACTTCTTTACACAATATTAAATACCTAATGCAATGCAAGGAAATGCTCTTATAGTAAGATACATCTATTGGTGGATTGATTCCAACATAATATGTTTTTGCAGCAAAATTAGTCGATGCTTAGGTTGTTTAGCTATGATTTATGAGTGACATAAATTTTTTTTTCAGTACAATAAATTGGAGCATGTGAGTTTGAATCACCGATTTCTAGAGAAAAAAGGTAAATGCCAACTACCAATGTACTGTACTAATTTTGGCACGAGTGGCGTGAAAGTTAGAGATGAAGAAAGTGAGAGATTGAACTTATAGTATTATGAAGTCTAATATTTTTTAAGTTGAAGTAGTCCAAATTAGTACAAGTAGTGGAAAGACAAGAAGAGTACGTTAGAAATCTCTCGTGATTGAAATGAAAGATACCATATTGGGTTATTATACATAATCGACCTATTGAACATATGTGAGTTTTTATATGGATACCTGGATAACAAGTGTAGCATGAGAATTTTTGAAGAGGCTAATATACTAACTCTGATGTCTACACACCAATATCAATATATTGTATAGTTTTTTTTTTCATTAAATATTTGTTTGCAATTTTTCAAATATTAAAAGAAAAAGATAACGAAACCTTTTTTTTTTACTTTTTAATGTAATGTCCACGGGCTAACAGTACCTTTTCGCTAGGTGTCAAAAATCATTCTCCTACTGAATCCGGTTAGAAAAGAGGACATGGAATTCAATTCTCCTTCTGCCTTCCTAAAAATTACTTTTAATTCCGAACTAGTCGAATTTCTACCTGTTGTAAAAAATATATATATATTTATTTTTTAATTAAATTATTAATATAAACATTAAATATTTTTTAAAATTAATTATTTCAATTACAAAATAGTATAATTAACTATGTTTAAATAAATAATATATTATTTTATTTAATTGTTACTAATTAATTAAATTGTTATTTTGCCAAAAGTGAGTATAGCTCAACAATAATTAATATATTTTTCCATGAGGTTGTAAGTTTGAATCTCACATGGATAGAGATTTTTCCCTGTGGGATCCCTGACCCAACCTCAATTAACATAATTTGAAAATTCATCTCTATCCATCCCGACCTGATCTCATCCCTATAATAGTTGAATGGACAAGTTATCTGTTAACTTCTCATGATTGAACTGAAAAATAGAGCCTCCCTTCACCCATAATGCAATTTCTTTAGACCATAACTTCACCACTTTTCTTAAAAATAAAAAATATATATATTATTTATTATTTTCTAATTAATTATTCATCTGTAATAATTAATGATTAATTATTTATAAGTATGTAAATGAAAATAAAAAATATATCTTTAAAAATCCAGCGTAGGAAGGGCAACAAAATAATTGGCAACGTGAAGGAGAAAGCGCCACAACGGCTTCTGATAAAGAGCTTCGCCAATAGCCACCGCATCTTTAACCCACCGACAAAATCATATGGGAATATGATAACGATGCATTTACGAGTTTCATTAATTTATGTAGCACAGTTACAAAGTATATTTATTCACATTTAATGCTGCAACAGAAAATTTGCATTGCCACGTGAAAAAAATGCTTTTTCCCATTAAATACTTTTTTTTTTATATAATACTGATTCAGACATCAACCCACAATGTTTTGATCGTAGATAGGAATCTTGATCAACTGTTCAGACTTCCTTTTGTCAATGTTTTCCCCCAAAAGACTCATCCATTCACCCCACTCTCTAAAATATATTTCAGACTTTAGTCTTACCAATTGCATTAATGTTATTCTACGTTAATTAAGAAAAAAAATACTTTTTAAGTAGTCAATCTAATCTAATCACATATTTTTAAACATGAATATACCACTAATGAACTCAAAAACTTAACTAATGAATTATGATAAATTTAATCATTTATTTTGAATATCTAACACTCCCCTCCCTTGTGAATTTGGAAACTTGCATAGGACCAAACAAGTGGAAATGAATACAAATGGATGGAAATGACAACACATCTCTGATATCATATTAAACCTGAATAAATTACCGATAAATCCAAAAACTTAAACCATTGGGTTAGAGTTTGGGTGTCTAACAAAGCTCAATAGATAAAAAATACCTATTATCCTCTCAAATGTTAGCTCCACCTTACAAGGGTTGAACTAAAAAGAAAATTATACTATTAATTTACTACATAAAATTTAAAACATAATAATAATTTTAATTAAGTCATTCATATGAAATTAATTGATATTACAAACAATGGTGTAGGACTCGATCCCTGCGGGTACCCGATCCAATCAGGTCGGGGAATCCCCGGTTTGACCGGGGACGGGGGAGGATTCCCCACCCCGTTTAATATTTTTTTACTTTTTCTATTTTTTATGTAATAATATTAATATATTAATTTTATAAATACTTTTTTTTTAACTCAAGCTAATATCCTATTTAGTCACTTTTTGTTCACTTTTTATATTAATAATAACAAAAATTAATTAAAAAATTAAAAATTAAAATTAAAATTAAAAATTAAAAAATATATATTTATAATGAGGGCGGGGATGGCGGCAAAAATCCCCAATGGGGCGGGGTCGGGGCGGCCTGCTTGAAAGCGGAAATCATATTCTCATTTACGTATGCATGCTCACTTAAAAGGTATAAATACATAAATGCTATAAATGTACTATATTTTAGTATTGACAAAGACAAATAACATGTCACTTTGATGTATTATTGATTATTTTCTAACTCCTTTAGTCAATTTCTCTATTAATGACTAACAAAGAAATTGGGACCTAAAATAACCAATTAATTTCTCCCATCAATATAATGGTACATTGAATGGGTGGAAGGTGAAAGAGGACCACATTATTTTTACTGAACACTATATTCAGTTACTTGCAAGTTGCAACTTAAACACGTACTGCAAATATAAGCCATGAATTAGTGTGACAGCCCATACCTGTACAATTTCGTTGCATTCGCCTGCTCAAAGCCCCCCATCAAGCACATATTTCCATTTCTATTGATGAAGTTGTTGATCATTATTTGCTAGTTAAGGTGTCTTTGCTTTGGATAAAACTGCCATGAAATGAGAAAGTAATTTGCATCCATCCATATATCCATCATTGCAGTTCATTAATGAGCAAACAAATCTTACCGGTAATAAAGAAATCTTACTTCAATCATGAACTGATTAATAGAAACAGAACTTTAAAATCAAGATAAAATTGTATCATATAAGTTTTAGAGAAAAATTAATGGCTTATCTTTTCAGGTAGCTGGAAATTAGCGACTTGAACTGCCTGTTCCTCAACAACCACGATTGAATTGTTTGTTCCTTCCAGGTTTTCACAATCTACACAGCGACTATTCAGCTATTTTATTGCTTTGTATGTTTGATCACATCCTTTCATTAAATAATTACCCAAACAGAACACGGCTCTTTCTGAAAGAAAGCTACATCCAACTCCAAGGTCACTCTTGCAAGGGGGAACTAAAATTTCTCTATCACACAGCCAAGGAAACTTCTCTATTTCGTTGCTCTAGATTCATCTGTGCCTTTTTCATAGCTTTACCTGTAACCAATAGGAAAAAATAACTTTTAGTTATTCAGATGTGTCCACTGTGCAAGTTTGACCTGGTGTTCATGATTATTTTACCCCATCTGATTATTACCTTCGCCTTTTTCCATTTTTCTTCTACTTCGCCAAAGAAGCCGAATTGGTGTGCCGGGAAAACCTGCATCTGACCGTAGTTGCTTTTCCATATACCGCCGATATGTCTCAGGGAAAAGCTTTGCATCATTTACAAAGAAAACAAACGTGGGTGGCCTTATAGCAGCCTGTGGAGGACAAAGTAATATAACGTAAAACCAAATTAACGAGAGTACTAGATGAATATTCAGGGACTTAAATTCTAACCAATAATGTCCTGCCCTCTAAAATGGAGGAAAGGATTGCCAACTTTCGCATAATAAAAGTTGGAGCAGACAAACAATTATCGAAACTTCATCCTAAACCAAAAGCTGTAGATAGTAGAACTGATAAAAGGATCGGCTTTTGAAATGAATACCTGAGTGCAGTAGTAAACACGTCCTCTCTTGCCCCCCCTTGTTCTTGGGGGCGACTTAAAAGCTAATGCTTCCTGTACTACTTGATTTAGTATGGAAGTAGTAAGCCTTCTAGATCTTTCCTTTTCAACTGCACTAGCAGCAGTTATAATCCTGATCCCAACATAAAAAACATGAGCGTAAGTGTGCATCCAAATGCCAGTATGTAAGCAAGAAAAGAAAATGTTGTGTACATATATCGTATTTCCTTTCAATGTCTTGGAATATAAGAGGCAACTTCTATCCATATAGACCATGTGCATGTTGAGGCACAATTTTAAACAATTAACTTGAGAGTTGTGTTGGAACATACGTATCGACACTTTGACCGGTAATTGCAGTAGAGTAAACAATGGGTGCCCAATCAAGACAACGTAGCTTTTCCCTTACATCTTGCTCGTAATACATTGCAGTCTGTTGGTTTTTATTTGGTATAGTATCCCACTTGTTGACAACTATCAGGCAACCTTTTCCTTCTCTCTCAATCCTTTCGGCAATTTTGCAATCCTAGGACATTCAGGTCGAATATGATAAAGTGGTTTAATTAGAAAACAGTCGAGGTAGAAACAATTGGAAAAGCATGAATGATAAACAAGATGAGAAGTAAGCAATATCTGAGAAAACAAAGAAGAGCAAATCATTTGCCTTTGAAGAAGGAATAAAAGAGCCCTACCGAAGTTCTTTATAGGAAAAATAAAGACTAATAAGGTGATACACTACTAACATTCCTTTCCAAACGAAGTACTGGCCCTTTATAACACTGCAATCATGTTGAGTAAAATTTAAAAGAAAGTGCAGCACCAGAAAGCTGTGCTCTGCAACACATGTTGGAACTTGGAAGTTTAGAAAAGCAAAAACCATCTTGATGTTCAAGACTACTAGTTTAAATGCACTTTAGTGGAAATGAGAAGCGGTGAAGGAAACACTGTTCATCTCATTACCTTCTAACCAAGTGCTTAAAGAGTAAGGCTACCAAAAACTCAAGAAGAAAGCAATTAGTTACAAATAACATACAACAACAAAATTCTAGTTCTACAACAGGGCCGCTGCTTGTTAGGGTGAGTATTTGGCTTGGGAGGAACGATAAGGCCTTCGACAAGAAGTCTAGATCTTTCCGGAAATTCTTTGACCACCTTATTTTTACTAGTCTCTCTTCATGTAAATTTTATGCTCCCTACAATGCTTTTTAGCTTATCTTTTCTATGTGCCAATTGGGAGACCTTTTTGTATCTTCCTTATAAAAAACTACGGAGTTCTACAACAACATCTGACATGAAATAAAGGTACTGGGCACTTCCAGATATAGTCCACACAGCACCCCTCAAGAGGTGCAGGAGAATCTTGAAACTTGGACTTGGAAACATGAATAGTGGAGTAGGAACTTGAAGCTCGAAATGGAGATGCATAAAGACTGGGATATCAGTAGCTAATAGTAAGAGCATTAGCTGTCTGCTCATGTGAAGGAACAGGATGTATAAATAAAATGAAAATCGAGTTAAATATATTTATTACGAACATGGTATACTGTTTGCAGCAACTCAGACAGCATCATTACGATCACAACAAGTTAGAAGTGCCTCAACAATTAAAACATGAAACCGGGATGGCAATATTTAATAGGATCCAAGAGAAATTCAAGTAGAATTCATTAATGTAGCTGGAAATGATACACAAAAAACTGGAGATACAACCTAATCCCACCAAAATACACTTTTCACCATTCTCGCTCCTCCATTCCCTTTTCTGTCTTAACACTAACACCCTCCGATAAATTCCTTCTTTTTAAATGGAACATATACAGGACCCTCCTACCTCTGCTATCCTTCACCTTCTTCCTCCTAGCATAAGTAAAGCAAATTGATGGTTTAGCAATATTCTCACGATCCAGGTCAGTCCTTACTAACTCCCCTACAAATAGTTCACTTCACCCTCTTACTAGATCTCCACAAGTTAGTGTATCTAAGGGGAGGCATATCAGAATGTTATTAAACAGAGTCTGAAGTCCAATTTGGTACCGTCATAATATGTATCAATTAATATTTTGTTCCTTGCTATTATTTCAAGCTCAAATCCCAGGTGAATGTTAAAATTTTATAATCAATATCATTTTATTTTCAGTAGAATGATTTGAACAAGAAATAAAAAATAATGTGATGCCCCCACGATGGTTTCATTTGGATTTAACTTGTCTTATAGAACCTTGACAGAACGAAACTGTAAGAATAAGGCAGGAAGATTGCAGGGTATTGGTCATGCTATCGCGAAATAATCTTTCAAGAAAGAGCCATGAGAACTACCTGTTCAGTGATACAAGCCATGGCTTCAATGACAAGAGCCACTACATCAGAACGTTGAATGGCACGAAATGCTCGATTGACGGATAGAGACTCAGTCATGCTACCTGATGATGATACAGCAGCCCTTTTTCTAATTCCAGCAGTATCAATTAGTCGGAACTTCTGTAAGATAGATAATGATTTAGTTTCTGAGGTCCTTCACGTGAATCAAGACTAGATTTGTGACAGAATTATCAAGGTCGCACAACTAGAACAAATATAATAGATTGTGGACATCTTGCTTGGTTGGGGTTTGAGCTTTCCCAGTAATTTCACATCATCGATAAAATTGTTTATTCAAAAAAATATATGAAAGTCACTTATCCAAAAAAATAAAATTGTTTATTAAAAAAAAAAATCATCAATGACAGAACAGTAGGGTTGCAGCATCTCAAACCTGACCATCTTGTCCTGTAAATTCAGTATCAATAGCATCACGGGTAGTTCCACTGATTGGGCTGACAATTGTTCTGTCTTCTTTGACCAAAGCGTTCAAAATACTACTTTTACCAACATTAGGTCGACCAACAATTGCTATAGCTGGAATGTAATTTTCTTCTTCATGAACATCCTCAAGACCCTGACACAAGAATCACCTATTATTAATGTCAATATTACTTCAAGATAACAAGGTGTTAAGAAACAGAAATGCAATTACGTGAGGTCTGTCAACGTTCACAGGTATTGTATCAAGAAAATTTTGTTCAATACAATATAAAATGGATACAACATCGATGTGGAACTCTTCAAATTAGATGACCTAGAGATATCCTAATCATGGTACTCTTTTGAAAGCTTTTAAACAGCAGATCTTCAAGATAATTCCAAACTGGATTAAAATGCTAGGGAAAAAGATCAAAAGGTAGTGTTGATTAGACAACATCCATATCTACTTGTACACAAGTTTAAGCATTCAAACCTCCAGTTTTTGCAGCCCTGAACAAACAAGATCAAGAAGCTCTCCAGTTCCAGTTCCAGATAGAGCAGATACAGGAAGAGGTGTAAACCTGGTTAATAGATCAAATGATCAAAGAAAATTCTATTAGGCTTTGTGGGGTCCGAAAGTATTTAGTGTAAACTTGGCAAAGTAGTCTCCTACCAAAAAAAAAACTCTCAATCAAGCCCTCACACCCCTACTAAAATTCTGACTTAACTAAAAGAGAGTATTTTGGCAGTTGATAACATAAGATAAGGAGACCTCCAGAAAAGTATTAACAGAAACGTATCATCGTTGGTAGGAATTTTGAAGTGATTCCTTACAAAATCATAAATGTTCTAGAATGTATAATCTGAGCCATGATTCCAAGTTTCAGTATAGACTATTGACTCCAACAGTACCCAGACATCTGTAAAAAGAAATTTTTCAAGATCAATTTTCAATAACTGTGTGTGATTAACTGTGGTCTGGGGCTTTCATTTTTTCTTTTCAGACCATTTTTTAATTTATCTAGGTGGAATACATTTAGTAACTTCTCTATTACTATCCTACATTATGGTGTTTCAAGGAAAAAGAAGCCATAAAATCATTTTTCTTAGTTCCTATATAAATATATTTTCCAAGGTCTAAAATTTGGAAGTGCATTCCCAATAATCTTTGTGATTATATCGCAAGAGCATGAGTAGAGCGATTTCAAATACAATGTTGAATTTTGAAACTAATATGACTTCCAAATGTTTCATTATGTCCCAATCCCCTCCCCCCTCCCCCCACCCCTGCACGCAAACAAAAAATATAAAATGAATTAAAATAAAAATCTCCAATAAAAAACATACCCCAAAGACCAAAATTCTGATGCTTGCATCATTCCTTTACGTGGAGACTCACACTTGTTAACAGCAAGAATTATATATTTATCTGAGTAGTTTCTACGAAGCCAATCAGCAATTTCTTCGTCAGCTGCAGTTAAACCTGCCTGTGAAAGAGTGTGAATATTTCTGATCAGACTATTAGTAGTATTAGCATTGACATGAAAATATGCTAATACGATGAAATTTTGTTGAACGAGCATTAAAAAAATGTTATGAGGATCAGCACAAAGAATGAACTCATGGGAAACAAAGAGGAACTAGAAATAAATTTATATGTATATTCTGATCAAATAAATACAATTTCAAATCATCGATAACGAGGAACAATAACTTCATACCTCAACTTGAGAAGTATCCAATATAACAATAAATAGGGACAATTGTTGACCATAAAAATAAAGGAGTATTCAAAAGAATTAACCACGAAAAGCTATAATGATGAAAAAGGGAGAGCATTTTCGAATCTAAACCTCTTCCTAAGACCCTACACCCCTAATAGCCTTAATATTCCTCTAATCAATTGTACCATATAATAAAGTCAACAACTTGACCTGCCAAAGAAATCGCCGTCCCTACCTAAAAGAAGAGTAAAGGAGGGTATACAATGAATTTCTCCATCATTGCCATACAACTCTAATCAAGATCCAAAACCACCCTTAAACACCTGCCTAAACCTTTCCTAAATTTTCGCAGCAAAAGAGCACCTTCAAAATATGCCCTTCACATCCATGGGCACTCGCTCATAAAGAATACACAACTAATTCCCAAACACAAAAATTAAAACAGTAAGAAATAATTTTTTCAAAATACACCCAAACAGTCACTTAGCCATTCAATCATGTAGTTAAAAATTTATAAATATTTGGACTTTTTAGTTTTGTTCCTTTCTAGTTGTTCATTGTCATTAAAATTATTATAAAATTTTTGTGGTACAATCAATTCAAATTATAAATTTTCTCAAAAATTATTTTTAATGAAAAAGTCATTTCTAATGACTTGAAGATAAAATTTAATGGACTTGTTTACAATAATAAGAAACCAAACTTGAGCAAATGAAAGAATATGCAGAGGCATTAAAGAAAATATCAGGCCAAAAATGAGTGAAGGGGGACTTTTAGCTTCCTAGAGTTTCCGGAGTAAGCAATCTTTACCCAAAAATATTCCTAATTGAATTTTGACAAAATGAAAGATTCTCAAACATTTTGAATAATAAATCCTGACAATAAATGCAAAAGGAAGTGCGCTTTTATGATCATAAATTAAGACAACCTGGCCATCAACAAGGAATATAACGACAGATGATTCTTCCACAGCTGCTGTAGCTTGTTTCTCGATCATTGACGGCATCCTCGCAACAGCTGCTTCCCTGGAAGCAAGGGGAATGCCATCCATGCCTATGGTTGTCGAGATAGCCAATTCCTCCATCACATCATTTTGTGATTTTGAAACCGAAATAACCCCTCCTGTATCCACCACCATAAATTCATAGTCCCCCCAAAAGGATCTACCATATAACCGATCCCTAGTAACACCAGGTTCGTCCACCACAATAGCCCTGTTCCCCTATGGTATAGATGGAAAGACTAATTTAGAATAACATTATCCGGATAATAATACTATTGGAAGCTTTAAATCTCATTTCCAGGGCATTGAATAGTACAATGATTGGACAACCAAAAAAACAAGATTCTTACCCCAACAAGTCTATTAAACAATGCAGATTTACCAACATTTGGCCTTCCAACAATTGCGACTCTTGGAAGTAGATGGTCTGGGATCTGTTGGATAAAATTTATAAGAATAGGAAACAAATTTATATTGTGGCATAGGAAACATATCACTTGTAGCAACCAGTGAATTCCTAAATTTAGCACTGTTCAATAGAAGCTTGACAGCATCTTGATTGTCACACACAATAAATTTTGCAGAAGGATTAGTGAAAGAGGAGAAGAAATAATAATAATAATAATGCATACTTGACAAAGTTCGAAAATGTTCTAATACATGTGAAGGGTATGGTCCTTCATGAGGTAATTAGGCAACTGACAAGTTCCGACCATGCAATCAATTTTAACGTCTATTTCTGTGATACGCTAACTAGGCAACTAACTGAGTCACATATTAAAATAAACGGTTTCCAATCGTGAAGCGCAATATGATTTTTTTTTTCCTCTTCCAGCTATAATATCCTTTTTAATTGAAAATTTCTTGAGAATTTTGCTGTTTAAGTAATTTATTGTACTCTTTTTCTTTCTTTCTAATTTCCTTCCTGGTATCAATCAATACAGCAATGTTTACGAAGAAATACGGGTACTTATATACTTTTAGTTCCTTAAATTGATTCTTCAAACCAAACGTTCTCACGGTATACACATGCGATGACAACAGCTAAACTTAGCCCCCGGTGAACTGAAGATGGAATATAACAACTAGAGACTTACTGACATTTCTAGGTGCAGTCTTACGCCTCTTCTTCTTCCGACCAGTTTCTGGTTGATCATTCATTTCATCTTCTAAAGCGACCGGAAAGGGCACAGAGTTAGCAGTAATCACAGATATCAAACACAACATATCAACAATATGATCAGTAGGACCACTGAAAAGCTATGGACCGTGGAGGAGATGCATAATTCCACACTATAATTATGAAATTTCGTCATTCGGACCATAACATGTACAAAATTGACGGTCTACCTAACATATGCATCGACACCTCTCTCTTTTACAATTACAAATATGGAACTCACGCAGAAACGGATACACCAGTGAACACACGCACCGAGTCTTAGTTCGCGGGATAAAGAGCTAGAATACTCTCGAAGAACGTCCTTGGCTTCTTCTTCGAAAGCCTCCACATCAATGGAGTAATCCTCATCTTCAAATTCGTCATCGAACACTTCCGAATCCTCTCCTTCGGCGTCTCCATATTTTTCAGAGAATCCAGAATCGCCAGTGGCCGAAGTGCAGTTGCAAGCCGTTCGTGATGAGAATGAAGAAGATTTGTAGAAGCCGGATAAGTCCAAGGACGAAAGAGTACGTAGAACAGGGAAAGAGGAAGAAATTAAAGGAGTAGCGGTGAGCGGATAGAGGACAGAGGGAGTTTTAGATAGAGTGCAAGACAAGAGAGATGAAGTGTACCAGAGCTTCAAATCTGCCATGGTCGTAGCTACGGACTAGCAGCTGGAACACTGAATTGGGAAGGCGAACGTTTGACAGTTAAGCAGAGGGGTTTATCTTTATCTGCCGCGCACGGCGAAGGGTTTTAACTCGCGCCACCATTTTTTTTCCTTTTTTTTTTATAATTACTATTAGCACAAAATTACAATTACTTTTTTTTTTGGTTGGTTGAGTTGTTATGACAAGGATTCAAAATCTTTGACATCATGCATAAACAACTTCTTAAATTTGAAATATGTATCTTAATCAATTAAATTTTAAACAGAAATATATGATATATACCTTAACCAATTAGACTATGTTTAAATTTGTAAAATGTATCATTACTTACTAATACTATAAAAATAATAATTGAGATAATTCGACAAATTTGAGTATAGTTCAATTGATTAAAATATATATCTTCAACCAAAAAGTCATGAGTTCGAACAACTTCATTCCTACTTACTGTACTAGAAAACATATAGTTAAAGAATGAAATCTAAAAAACATAGCAGTCAATAACCATTATATTAAATCTTATTCCCTAATTTATTGATTTTAGTGTATAAAATAAGATTTGAAAAGTAAATTCACAGAAGAAAAAAACGTTAAAATAGTGATTAAAATAGTTGTGAGATGAGATGGAGTTGGAAGCAACCATATCGTCACAAGAATATTTAGAAGAATATCAAACAAACGAGTGGAAACAAAAAGTAATATCGATTATGATATGGGGTTCACTTTCATCGCATGGTTGAGATGAAGGATTCGTTTCATAAATTTACTGAGACAAAAGTTAAAATATCTGCAACAACTTCTTCCCAAGGTTTCCAAGCCATTTCATTGGAGCTGGGGTGATTGCTTCATCTGAAGATGTCTCTCCTATTTGCTCGACCGCAGTGGTCCTTTGATTCCTCAACTCGCCATGTATTTCTATTTTTGTATCTTCTTTATGTTCATGTTCTTTCAGATCACTCTCTGGTTTCACTTTTATCTTTACTGGTTTACCAAGCTTTGATTTATCTTCCATTCCTGCAATTTCAAGAGCCTTTTCACATACAGGAAACCCCTGATCATCCCAAGATTCTAAAATCACACCCGACCCAATGCATCTCCTTCCCTCATAAAAGGCTGCAAACTGCCCAGCTGCAAGGCCTTGATCGTCTTCGTTTAGGTGGACGACTGCAATATCTTCATGACCATCCTCATCGCGTTCCATCGTCAAATTGCAACTATAGAAACTCGGGCCATGTCGGACCTGAAAATTGTAAAAATTCATGAAATGAGGGGGACTATAAATTAATTGATAAGGAACTAGAGGCCAGTGTCATAATCTCAAAAGCAAATGAGCGGAATACAGAAGGCATAGCTTCCCGAGAACAGTGATATTCCATTTCTAGATCATCTACATAAGTCTAATACGTGTGCCATCTCAAAAGGAAATGCCCCTTAAACAGTCTATTCCCAGATAAGATTGAACTCTAAACCAGAATTCTTTCTTTAAAAGAAAATCCTCTGATGTGGAGAATGTGTTTGTTATATTAAATTATCATGGAAGATTGAATTTTTTATGTAACAAAGATTGAGAATTAAAAAGTATAACTCAAGATGCATGGATATATCCGAAATAGGTTATTCTGACCGAATTTGTGGTAATTGTCAACATTTTCACCAGCACGCTTGTTTAAACATAAACTTGCAAGAATGAACTGATGACTTCTCAGGAAAGGAGTGCATAAAAACGTTCAGGACAATTGTCTTCTCTGTTGAATCATTAAAGCCAGGCCAACATGAAATGGTGAAACTGGCGGGAAATAATGGGAGATGGAAGCTGAACCTTTACCTTACATTGAAGCCCAGTAAATTGGTCTGGGGGCGAAACAGTGAGCCATTTAAGTGATCCAACACGGAACAGGCGCCTTCTTTTGTCAAATGAGAAATAATTTCTCGACACAAATACTACATTGTTCTTTATATCTTTTTCCACAACATACCTGCAGCAGATCATTGTCATAAAAGCTGAAATCTTTGTAGTAATTTAGCTCAGCAAGAGATGTAACTAAAAGAATGTGAAGCACCAGATTTTAAAATAGTCTAGAGTAAGAAGTTATTGATAACTAAAACTAGCACCTTGGAAAATTCAAATCTACTCGACCAGGACGAATAGAATTTATGATGTTCTTGAAGATTTGATAATGCTCATACAATAGCCAAATAACAGAGAATATAGAATTATCTTTAAATGATGCTACTAGAAAGAAGGAAGCAGAAATGCATACCAAGGTCCTCCAGGGAGTCTCAGACCTTGGCGTTGACCAATCGTGTAGAACCAAAATCCTCGATGTGTACCAAGGAAATCTCCAGACTCGGCTTCCAATATGACACCTTCCTCTTCCCCAATATGTCTTGCAACAAATTCACTAAATTTTATCTACATACATAAAAGAAACAGGTTCTAACGTGAATTCTAACACAAGAAACCATCTTCAGAAACCAGATTAATGTAAGTTTCACCACGAGGAAGAATAAGGAAATAAAGAACTCGCAGGGGAAAGTTTAGCCATCAGAAATTTTTTACCATAATTAACAGATCTTAAGCTAAATTCTTTAAGCTAGCCTCTATCATTTTAAATAGCTGCAACAACTTGTAAAGAAGATTCTCATAATATAAGACAGCAAGACCTAAATATTAGACATATTAGCATGAGGAATAAATTTTGAGAAAGCCAGAAGTCCTCCAAGCAAAACAGATGTATGAATCACCATATCTGAAAGTACCTTCCCAAGGAAACATATTCCTTGCGAATCTTTTCTGTCTTTGTTTGGCAGGTTGAATTTTGCAGCAAGTTTGCGAACCTCATCCTGCAGATGATTGTTGAGGGATTATAAGGCTGAGAGGAAAAAATATATGGCAAAAGTCACAACTCTGGGCAAATATATTAGTAATAAAACAAGCACACAAGTATTATTTTTTTCCTTCTGAAAAGATAATGCACTATTTGAAAGGAAGTGCAAGTTGAGATATAAGCACATCAAATTCATCTTATGAATTCACAGATTGAAATGCTAATACATCTAACACCCATGAATAGTTAATAACCTAACAGCGTCAACCACAAAACGATATCCACAAAGCTCTGAAATGATATCTACATCAATTGGCTTATCAAACTATGTGATTATTTTTTAACTCTTATTAAATACATACATTCCTCAACTGATTGCAACCAATGTAAAGCAGTAGGTGTTTATGTTTGTAGAAGGCCAGTACCAAACCAAACAAATTTACAATTTCTGAAGCTTTCAAATTACACAATCTTAACCATAAGAGATATCTTACAAAGAACGCAATGATACATGGTGTAAGATCTGCTTGAACAAACCTTTGGAATACATCCAAGAGGGAATAAAAGTCTTTTAAGCTGATACTGTGAGAGATGTGATAGAAAATATGTTTGATCTTTGACCTGAAAAAAAAATAAGAAAGTAAAATAAGAAACCATTAGTCTGAAGCAAGAAGGAGGGATAAATGGGTCCAACCATGAACCTTGAACTATGAAAGCAGTACGTAATACTCAATAAAGATGTCATTTCTAGCACGATTTAAACAAATATTAGTCCATATAATTCAACATAGGTCAAATTTAAGGCACTGAATTTAAACATGAGATCTCCGAGCTGAATTTCTAAAGGCATCACTCTTAGAATATAGACAGTTACTTCTTAGACATCCTGAAAAGAGCAAAATAGTATCCTATGTTACAAAAACAATGAACTACTAAATATTAAACAAGTTATGACTTTAACTGCATATTAGACAGGATAGATTGAAAGAAAGCCTCATGCAACCACTTGCAGATACCGTGTCCTTGGATAGTTCTAAAACCGAAGGTCTGTCCATTTGATCAGCAGATGGGTGAATAACATTTGCATAATGCCCCGAAGCAACATAATCAAACTCCATATTGCTTATTGCATCCATGAATGCACCTGGAGAAAGCAGGGTGCTGTAAATTATATTTTTCTAAAATGAAAAAACATAAACAAGAGCTCAACCATATAGGAAATTATTTTTTTATAAAACTTCTTCGAGTGCATCTAACTAACATACCAAACTTTATTCTTGTGTTACAAAGGACATCAGGGTTTGGAGTACGGCCACATCGATATTCTTCAATTATGTAGGAAACCTAAAACACACCAAGAAATATTCACTACATGGAAAAGAGAACCTACGAACTACTTTGACTTATTACAAAATAATGAATGAGCAAGATGGCCAACCAGCACGACTGTAACCAAATTGATTTAACCAACAAAGTTATTGAATAAAGTTGTAGTTGTAAAATCACTTACCACGTTCTTCCAATATTCCTCCGTCAAATGAACGACTTCCAATGGTACATCAACCTGAAAACGAATTTAAAATAAGACAAAGATTCTCCACATCATGGAGAACTCATAATTACGCTTAGCACGATTAACTTGGGAGCATCTTAAACTATATTCAGATTCCGAAGAAAACTTTTATTGCATTTGGACCTCCATTGACCAAATTAAAATTTGTTAGTCTAAAAGGATTTATAGGCTAAAATAATAACAAACCTGATCACAAACAGCTTTAACATACTTCAAATCTTCGTCCCACGGGCATTCCGACCAAAAATTATCGAAGTCTTCCTACGCAAACAAAACCCATCTAAGTGCGTTCACAGGAAGAAACTAAAATCCCCTGCCTAAGAACATACACAGATGGTACATTTAAAAAAACACAAAAACAAAAACAGAAGCAGGTCTGCAATCGTCATTTCTCGTAATCCAAAACCCCAATTTTTTTGCCACAATAATTCATACTGAAATGACCGTATTTTCCATTGATAGAAGAAAGAAAGCGTACTTGAAACCAGATTTTGAGGTAGAAGGCAGTGCAGGAGTGGCCAGCAGCGTGGAGGAGGCGGAGGGCGACGCTGCTATCGACGCCGCCGCTAAGAAGAACGGCAACTTTGAGCGGATAGTTGGGCATGGAACAAGAGAGAAAAGGGTCCAAGAGGCCATCCGAGAAGCCTTTAGCTGAAGAAGAAGAAGACTCCGAGGATTTGAGTAGCAAAGAGGAGGCGGAGGAGCGGGTGAGGAAGAGCCGAGGCTTGGAGAAGCAGAGGACTGGTCTGAAAATTGAGGGGCGGAGGGGAGGGAAGCTGTAATTGAAAATTGAGCACCAGCTGGGCTTCACTCCCACTCTCACCATCACTCTAACTGTAATCGTCTCTCTATCCACCGTCCTCGCATTCTTCTCGCTCCGAGTCCTGACCAAACACGAATACTACACATATATTTTATAATTCTTGAGAATATTTTATTTTTACCATGTTTTGGGTTTTCTCGTTGTTTTCAGATTAATCAAATAAACTCATTTTATTTTTATTAAAATTAAAATAGAGAAATTATAATATCTTATAAATTATATAATATTTTAAAATATTAATTCTATCCAAATTTATAATATTTGTGTTATTTAATTAATAATGTTTTAGATTAAATTAAATATTTTGTTGGTAATCAATCACTTACATATATATTATCAAACATCTCTAATTTATTTCTTTTAAATTGTGTTCTTTTATAAATATTTTAGATTGTGATTCAATGTTCAAATCTGTTACCAAACACATATATAAAAACAAATAAAACAACCTTGTTTTCATTAAATCTTTATTAGATTTATGTTTTCGTATCACTAATCAAACGCGTCCTTTATCATTCTTTAAAACTTATTTCAGGTAAAAGTTCTACTATTTCAAAAGTTGAACATAAATATCAACTTAAATATAGCTCATCTTTTATCTACGATTAAAAGTCGAATCTTCATTCCATATGTTGTACTAAAAAAATATAAATATTATAATACCTATCAAAATTTAAAATCAAATTTGATGAAATTAAAATTTTTGGACAAACGTTGATATACTTTATAGTAAAATTTTATCTCTTTCAAAAAGGAAAAAAAAACTGTTGCCGTTAATATAAGATAAAATATCGATTTAGTACAGTACTGTGATGTCATCTGTTAACAACTTCTTTTAGTTCAACACAATTTTTAATTGAACTTATTTAAAAGTATTTCTTAACGGAAAAGATTAAAACATTGCTTTTTAAACTTAAAACTCAGAGTTAAAAGAAAAAAAAATGTAATTTGTTCTTATGTTTTATTTCCTGGAGCAACTCACATAAATAAAAATAGAACTCTTTAAAAGAAATAATAATAAATAAAGAAAATATAACGTAAAATAATAAGGAAAGGAAAATGGTGAAATTGAAGAGGACTGATACGACTTTACGGGGCCCTTTCCGCCATGTATGGGCCACTTTGGGAGCCCATTTCTTGTCTGTATGTATCACTGTTTTCAAGAGTCACTGGAGAGTCCTTTATAACCAAGCCCAATTTCTTCCACTCCGGAAAACAATTTAATTAAATTATTAAATTGATTGTTGTATTTTAATTAAATTGTTAAATTGATTGTTGTAGTTATCTATGCTTTATTTTATTGATCTTAATAGTTTCCAAAATCTCAACTAGTAATGAGTTGTGTTCAAATATGGACAATTATCGTCACCCATGTAATCATCGTTATAGCATATGATTAAGGTAATTATATTTTTGAAGTAGTAGATTCGAATTTTCATTTCCATATCTGTGATGTAATATTTTTATAAAAATTTAGTTTAATATTCATAGTGTTATAATATATTATTTATTTTTACCTAAGTGTGCGACTTTGCTTTACTCAAAATATCTGGTATATTAATGTTTGAAGTCTCCTGTATTTCTATTTTATGTGGAGATAATGTTGGCATCCGACCATTTTTCCTTTAGATTTTTTTTTTTTTTTGAGATAAAGGAAATGTACTAACTATAAAGATTTTATTTAAATGTATGTAGAAGAATATAATAATACTTTTCGATAACCGCGTGAGAAGGGAGATGGATGGTGAGATTGAGATCCCGATTATTGAAGAAATTGACTCGTCATAAAATTGGCAATAAAACCACTAAAATTCGTCATTATTTCACATAAATGTCGGAGCATAAGGACAGTGTGGCTGAGATATCACCTCTCGTCCATTCTGTAAACAAAATATATGGTTTTTAAATATTTTATTTATTTTATTAATTCTTATCATTTTTGTACCAGATTAGATATGTACAGTGGAGACTCTGAATCTTGCTAAAGAAGTAAGGAACAACTTTTAAAAACTTACTCTTTCTTTTATTTATAAATTTGTAGTAGAAAAAAGTTGTTTGGTTCCATTTTGACCACGGTGAATTATTTGAGTTACTACCATCAAGTCTTTTTATCCAATGTGAATACCCTTTTTTTAATTGAGAACGTCTCTAATTACTTATACTTGTTAGTTTATGTTATAACAAAGTCGCTCTAAAATTGAATTGGTTCTAAGATGTAGAATCTAATCGAATCACATTTAGCAAATCTACTTCGACAAAATGACAAAAAAATAAACAAAAAATGTGCGAAGAGGTACTAACTAATGAACAACTTAATGTTATCCCATCAAATAAAATTGATGTGGATGAAAAATTTTCGTGAGTTTAAGAAATAAAAAACCAGTACCAAAGCGAGTATAGCTCAACGATAATTAGTATATACCTCCAATCAAGAAGTTGTGAGTTAGCATATTGTACTAAAAAAAGAAATAAAAAACTAGCATGAAACTATTCAATAAAATTTGAAAAATAATATCGGTAAAATTGAAAAAAATGTTAAGGATATTGAGAATTATGTCGTTGATTTTGTCCACATATATATTTATACTTTTGCTTCCACTAGAAAAGGAAGGTGTGCAGCAAGTACATTAGCATTAGCTCTATAGCACATACTTTTGATCATTATGAATGCTAAAAAGGGACCTTCAATTGTGTGGATATAATAAATAGTTCCTCACTAACTAATTGGAAAGCTCAATATTGATATTTTGTTTGCCAAAAACCTTTTTTCCAAAAGATCTTTTCATAAAGTTATGTTCTATGGATTTTTATTACCAGCAAAATAATAATAATAATAATAATAATAATAAATGTAGGAAAAAATAAAACTATAGATCTATTTTCCATATTGATTCAAGAGGGTTAAACAAAAATGAGCGAAAGCGTATCTGAATCCATAGTGAAAGCAAATTTATGGATTTGATCTTCCAAGTTAAGAGATAATCCACGATTGGACTTATTATATTCTCAAATATCTTCTCTATTAAATAGAAGAAGCAGAGAGTCGTTTCTCTCTCAAGGGATAGAGAGAATATTGTGAAATGTTATCTAACTTGGGGACCGTAACCCCTATGTAACCGATTAAAATGAAAACATGGGACGGTTACATGATTTTGATAGAGAGAATATTGTGAAACGTTACACAAAATCACTTCTTTTGGTCTAATTAAATAGCAAAAGAACACATCAAATGTTTACCTGTTTGGCTCATATTATTAGAAATTCTAACAAAAACCATTTCATTTTGTCCACCTTTGATTTGAAACAAATCAAATATAATTAACTTATGGCACTCCCCTTCAAACCTTTTACTAATCTTTAAATTTGTAAATGTAAACAAAAATATCATAGAATAGAACAATTTGACAATACAGTTATACAATAACAGTAATAATACTCGTCAAAGTGAGTATAATTAACACATATATCTCCAACTAAGATGTTGAAGGTTCGAACCTCTATCCCACATGTTGTACTAAGAGAATAAAACAGTAATAATACTAGCCCACCCTCTTTTTCTTCATCTCCACTATAACTAGTAGGAAAAAAATATTGAGGTTCCTAAACAAATTCTTAAAAATCTTAATCGATCGATGATTCAAATTGTAACCCATTTTTCTTATGGGATGTGGGCAGAGTCTAGAGCACGTAAAATTTCATCACAGTATCTCTTCCACGAAGCATTTTCAATGTTTCTAGAACCCTTTTTTTTTTAGGGATGCCTTATTTTTAAGCAACCATAGAATAGCCCCTTGGATTTTAGAGAGAGAGAGAGAGAGAGAGAGTGTTGCTATTTAAAAGTGGTTGACAGAAGTGAATGATTAATCACTGATGTTGTAAGCTTCCTTAAAATTTCCATTGATTTGATTCTCTCTCTCTCTCTCTCTCTCTCTCTCTCTCTCTCTCTCTCTTTTAACTGCCGACACGGTCACCATTACCCGCCACCAAAAGAAACACGAATTTTCAATTTAAAAATATATATTTTTTATATTATTAACTGCATTTATTTTTTTAACTGCATATAAATTATATCATATATTCACTTTCTATCATATTCATAACACATGTCAGGATAAATTGAAGCATATTAAATTATGCATTTAATACTGCCGACATGGCGCAATTAATATTAAATATAAAATATCACCATCTGTTTCCCCTACCCCTTTGATTCGAAATTGGGCTAAACTCGCTTTTTCCAAGTGATTACTGTAATTAATGATGAAATAAATTTTGAGTCAATAAGCAAAGATAATATTGTCACAAACCAAATAATTTCGCCAACATTAATCACTACGACTCATATTGGTATTTTACATCATTATGGGTTTGAATTATTACTTCTTTTTAATCTTCAGCCAATAATATTCAACCGCGAATCTCGACCTGCCACATCGGCATGGTTTTTTTCTTCCCTTTTCTTTTTTGATTGATTTTGTCTTGTATAATTCATTGGCCCCATGGGAGAGATTGCAATATTTGCATTTGAAATATTGGGCAATGATGCCAAAATATCAAGGCCAAATAATGCATTTATACACATACACATAATTATGGTCGTCCGAGGAGCAACAATTTTTTTTTTCTTTTTATGGTTTTGACTTTGGCTTTCTAATCGTGTTTTTTTGGTTAATGACTTTAAATTTTCTTAATCATAGGTATATTTACATTATTATATTTGTACAAATGTAGCAAGTTTTATATATAATATTATTGTAGTAAAGTGTTAGACTAACAATACTAGAATAACAATATACCATACACCAAGTTAAATTGTATTTTTAACTTAGGTACTTTAAGTCTCCTAAACCAATTAAAATTGAATTTTCTGAAAAAGAAAAAGGATGACTGAAAAAAGATAACTATATAATTCAGGAATATAAAATATGAGCACTAAGAATCATCGAAAAAACTCTATTTTTTATATTAACTCATTACAAGTTTAAATTGTATTTTGGTTCTCAGACTTTTAAAATGTTTATTTTGGTTCATAAATTTTCATATTTATTTTATTTTA